TTTAAATTGAAATCACAACAGAACGGCCAGACTCAAATTTATATCGGTAAGGAGACCAGATATTATCCAGCCTTCACCTTCTGCTCTCCAAGCCTTGCTTTCAAACCGGAAGTAGCGAAGTGTGAAAAAGGTCAATAACCTGACTTTGACCCTGACCCAGGATATAACCTGACTCTGACCCTGACGCATGATATAACCAGACTTTGGCTTTGATCCTTGATATAACCTGACTTTGGCTCTGACCCACGATATAACCTGACTTTGGCTCTGACCCAGGATATAACCTGACTTTGGCCCCGACCCATGATATAAAATGACTTTGGCACCGACCCATGACAATCCTGGCTGTGGTTTTGATCCTTGCTATAACCTGACTTTGACCTTGACCCATGATATAACCTGATTCTGACCCTGACACATGATATAACCTGACTTTGGCCCCGACCCAGGATATAACCTGACTCTGACCCTGACGCATGATATAACCTGATTTGGCTCTGATCCATGATATCACCTGACTTTGGCTCTGACCCATAATATAACCCGACTTTGGCTCTGACCCTTGATATAGCCTTATTTTGGCTCTGACCCATGATATAACCTGATATTGGCTCTGACCCATGATATAACCCGACTTTGGCTCTGACCCATGATATAACCTGACCTTGACTCCGACCCATGATATAACCTGACTTTGGCCCCGACCCATGATATAACTTGACTTTGACCCCGACCCATGATATAACCTGACTTTGATGCCGATCCATGATATAACCTGACTTTGGCCCCGACCCATGATATAACCTGAATTTGGCTTTGATCCTTGATATAACCTGACTTTGACCCGACCCATGACATAACCTGACTTTGGCTTTGATCCATGATATAACCTGACTTTGACCCCAACCCATGATATAACCTGAAGTTGGCTTTGATCCTTGATATAACCTGACTTTGGCCCCGACCCATGATATAACCTGACTTTGGCTTTGATCCATGATATAACCTGACTTTGGCACCGACCCATGACATAACCTGACTTTGGCTTTGATCCTTGCTATAACCTGACTTTGACCCTGACCAAGGATATAACTTGACTTTGACCCTGACCCAGGATATAACCTGACTCTGACTCTGACGCATGATATAACCAGACTTTGGCTTTGATCCTTGATATAACCTGACTTTGGCTCTGACCCAGGATATAACCTAACTTTGACCCCGACCCATGATATAAGCTGACTTTGATGCCGACCCATGATATAACCTGACTTTGGCTCTGACCCATGATATAACCTGATTTCGGCCCTGACCCATGATATAACCTGACTTTGGCTTTGATCCTTGCTATAACCTGACTTTGACCCGGACCCATGATATAACCTGACTTTTACCCTGACCCATGATATAACCTGACTTTGACCCTGACCCATGATATAACCTTACTTTGGCTTTGACCCATGATATAACCTGACTTTGGCTCTGACCCAGGATATAACCTGACTTTGGCCCCGACCCATGATATAAAATGACTTTGGCTTTGATCCTTGCTATAACCTGACTTTGACCCTGACCAAGGATATAACTTGACTTTGACCCTGACCCAGGATATAACCTGACTTTGGCTTTGATCCATGATATAACCTGACTTTGGCACCGACCCATGACATAACCTGACTTTGGCTTTGATCCTTGCTATAACCTGACTTTGACCCTGACCAAGGATATAACTTGACTTTGACCCTGACCCAGGATATAACCTGACTCTGACTCTGACGCATGATATAACCAGACTTTGGCTTTGATCCTTGATATAACCTGACTTTGGCTCTGACCCAGGATATAACCTAACTTTGACCCCGACCCATGATATAAGCTGACTTTGATGCCGACCCATGATATAACCTGACTTTGGCTCTGACCCATGATATAACCTGATTTCGGCCCTGACCCATGATATAACCTTACTTTGGCTTTGACCCATGATATAACCTGACTTTGGCTCTGACCCAGGATATAACGTGACTTTGGCCCCGACCCATGATATAAAATGACTTTGGCACCGACCCATGACAATCCTGGCTGTGGCTTTGATCCTTGCTATAACCTGACTTTGACCCTGACCCTTGATATAACCTGACTTTGACCCCGACCCAGGATATAACCTGACTCTGACGCATGATATAACCTGATTTGGCTCTGATCCATGATATTGTAGCGGCCCGGACCCAAACTTCTGATAAACCTCGAAGTCTGGATGTACCTGAGAGTCAAAACACTTCTTTTCAATGAATAATTAGTTTTTATTCATGTGGGTATAACAATGCCTTATATGGACAACACAATGCTTCCAAATAAGTAGATCCCTCTGAGCTTTAAGGTTTATTTGTAAGGACCAGTGTCAGGGCAAAATAATTATTGCCTGTAACTATAATGGTAGTTTACTGCTATAAATATATATATATGGATGACTTCTTTATCTGAATAACTTTTCAGTTACTCAGATAGCAATTTGTGTCTGTGTTCAAAAATGCAGTCTATTTATAGAAATGATTACATAAGGACAAGGGGAACTTTTGGGCTGAATTATCTGCCCTTTGATTTAAACTGACCTTTAGACTGCCAAAGTCAGAATGACCCAGAATGGATCTCATCGTATTTATAGGTGTGAGAAAATGGTCACATGTCTGTTATTGACCAATCAAATTGCGAGAAATTACGTCTCTTTACGTCCTTATTCCTTTGAGGGATCTACTTTCACAATGTAAAATCACTGAAATAAAGAGGAAGGCAAACTATCTCAGGAGGTAATTTGGTATAAAAATGAGTATTTATACCAATCAATGAATTCTGTCTAATTGATTCACTAATTGCCTTCCAATATCACAAGATAAACAATTACGTCCTGCTACGTCGAAGCTACGTCCTTGCTGCCTGCCGAGAGGACGTAATAACAAGGAACATCGACTGGGAATTATGATGGACAATTCAAAGAGGAAGATTACAAATGTCAGGAGGCAATTGGAATTAATTTATCTGATGCATAAGACGTTTAATAACACAAATTGGCCACTGGTATACTTTGACAGAAGCACTGGATGTCATATTTATGAGAAACATGTTCATAAATAGTGACGCTAAATACTGCGCATGAATACATCAGCGAAGATTACATAGTTCCTGATGTCAGAATTAACAGTAACTTTAATACACGTCTTGACATATCATCAAATACAATTCTGGGTTCCTCTGGACATAGTTCATTAGATTAAATAAACTTTATAATGCAAATGCTAAGCATTAGCCAAATTCAGTAACTTCATCGCGACCTAGGCTAGCTGTCACAAAGTTAAAATGGCGGGCGTCGGCGAAACACATAGCTCAGCCCTGATCACAAATTCGCACAAATATGGATAAATATCAAGCTGCCAAGTGATTGTGATCTGTTTGTTGAAGAACAAAAGTATGATTAATCTGTATCTGATTGTTAATTTGCGTAACTGTGTGCTTAGAACGATGAATTCTTCAAAAGTTACGGTCAATGCAAAACTCTTGAAACAAGTAAACAAGATCGTTTTGACAGGCACGTTGTTGACATCGATGCTTATGAGGTACTGGCACATCCTAAACAATATGCGTAACATGATGGCATGGACATATGATTATTTTTACGAGATAACAGTGTGCCATGAAGCTCTATAAAAGCATGCTATGATCCTCTGATAGATTTCTTACCAAATCGGGATTCAAAACATTGAATTACGTGAAAACGAGGTTGGCAAAAATATACTGATATATACCTGCAAAACTAATTACAGTTCACAGGATAATTATGATATAATTCGAGCACTGTCATACAACCATCAAAAATACAACAGGGAAATATTTAGGAAATATTTCTAATTTTTACAAGCTGTCATAACTCTCATATTTTATAATAAAGATATTAATATTTATATATTCTTCGTGATGGCCATCACAATATCACCTGACTTTGGCTCTGACCCATGATATAACCTAACTTTTTGCCCTGACCCATGATATAACCTGATATTGGCTCTGACCCATGATATAACCCGACCTTGACTCCGTCCCATGATATAACCTGACTTTGGCCCCGACCCAGAATATAACTTCACTTTGACCCCGACCCATGATATAACCTGACTTTGATGCCGACCCATGATATAACCTAACTTTTTGCTCTGACCCATGATATAACCTGATATTGGCTCTGACCCGTGATATAACCCGACTTTGGCTCTGACCCATGATATAACCTGACCTTGACTCCGACCCATGATATAACCTGACTTTGGCCCCGACCCAGAATATAACTTGACTTTGACCCCGACCCATGACATAACCTGACTTTGATGCCGACCCATGATATAACCTAACCTTTTGCTCTGACCCATGATATAACCTGACTTTGGCCCAGACCGAGGATATAACCTGATTCTGACCCTGACCCAGGATACAACCTGACTTTGATCCCGACCAATGATATAACCTGACTTTGGCCCCGACACATGATATAAACCGACTTTGCCTGTGATCCATGATATAACCTGAATTTGGCTTTGATCCATGATATAACCTGACTTTGGCTCTGACCCATAAGATAACCTTACTTTAAACCCGACCCATGATATAACCTGACTTTGACTCCGACCCATGATATAACCTGACTTTTGCTTTGATCCTTGATATAACCTGACTTTGACCCTGACCTATTATTTCAACTGAGCCTGACCCTGACCTATGATTTCAGTAACTGGGGGGTTCATAGGCTTTAGAGACATCACGTTGGTGTTAAATAATATGTTGAGGGTGTATGTATGTCTGGAGGGTGTATGTATGTAGTTCTCGAAAAGACACAGTGTTACCATATATGTTTTAGTTAGTTTTCAGTCATTAAATAAATCAAAAACATGTTGACATAAGAAAGCCTTTAATCACTTCCTTCTTGGTGAGTTTTTCACACTCCTTCATTTCAGAGATGGAGAATTTTGAACTGGAGTCCAAAGATAGCGACTATGATGACGGTAAGTCTTCCCTGACGCATCCCATGCCGACAACCGCATCTCTAGCCTACACCCTTCACATCTATACATTAACTTCCCTCATCTCTAGCACACGTCCTACACATCTATACCTAAACTTTACACATATGCAGTCCACGTCCTACACATCTATACCTAAACTTTACACATATGCAGCCCACGTCCTACACATCTATACCTTAACTTCTCTCATCTGTAGCCTTCGTCCTTCAGATCTATACCTTAACTTCAATCATCTCTAGTCCACGTCCTACACATCTATACCTTCATGTCTTTTATCTCTGCCCCACGTCCTACACATCTATACCTTAACTTCTCTCATCTGTAGCGTACGTCCTTCAGATCTATACCTTAACTTCACTCATCTCTAGCCCACGTCCTACACATCTATACCTTCATGTCTTTTATCTCTGCCCCACGTCCTACACATCTATACCTTAACTTCTCTCATCTGTAGCGTACGTCCTTCAGATCTATATCTTAACTTCACTCATCTCTGCTCAATGGACTACACATCAATATCTTAACTTCACTCATCTCTGCTCAATGGACTACACATCTATATCTTAACTTCACTCATCTCTAGCCAACGTCCTACATATCTATAACTTAACTTCACTCATCTCTGCTCAATGGACTACACATCTATACCTTAACTTCACTCATCTCTGCTCAATGGACTACATATCTATAGCTTAACTTCACTCATCTCTGCTCAATGTCCTACACATCTGTACCTTAACTTCACTCATCTCTAGTCCACGTCCTACACATCTGTACCTTAATGTCTTTTATCTCTGCCCCACGTCCTACACATCTATACCTTAACTGCACTCATCTCTGCCCAATGTCCTACACATCTATACCTTAACTTCTCTCATCTGTAGCTTTCGTCCTTCAGATCTATACCTTAACTTCACTCATCTCTAGTCCACGTCCTACACATCTATACCTTAATGTCTTTTATCTCTGCCCCACGTCCTACACATCTATACCTTAACTGCACTCATCTCTAGCACACGTCCTACACATCTATACCTAAACTTTACACATATGCAGTCCACGTCCTACACATCTATACCTAAACTTTACACATATGCAGCCCACGTCCTACACATCTATACCTTAACTTCTCTCATCTGTAGCCTTCGTCCTTCAGATCTATACCTTAACTTCAATCATCTCTAGTCCACGTCCTACACATCTATACCTTCATGTCTTTTATCTCTGCCCCACGTCCTACACATCTATACCTTAACTTCTCTCATCTGTAGCGTACGTCCTTCAGATCTATACCTTAACTTCACTCATCTCTAGCCCACGTCCTACACATCTATACCTAAACTTTACACATATGCAGCCCACGTCCTACACATCTATACCTTAACTTCTCTCATCTGTAGCCTTCGTCCTTCAGATCTATACCTTAACTTCACTCATCTCTAGCCCACGTCCTACACATCTATACCTTCATGTCTTTTATCTCTGCCCCACGTCCTACACATCTATACCTTAACTTCTCTCATCTGTAGCCTTCGTCCTTCAGATCTATACCTTAACTTCTCTCATCTGTAGCCTTCGTCCTTCAGATCTATACCTTAACTTCAATCATCTCTAGTCCACGTCCTACACATCTATACCTTAACTTCTCTCATCTGTAGCTTTCGTCCTTCAGATCTATACCTTAACTTCACTCATCTCTAGTCCACGTCCTACACATCTATACCTTAATGTCTTTTATCTCTGCCCCATGTCCTACACATCTATACCTTAACTGCACTCATCTCTAGCACACGTCCTACACATCTATACCTAAACTTTACACATATGCAGTCCACGTCCTACACATCTATACCTAAACTTTACACATATGCAGCCCACGTCCTACACATCTATACCTTAACTTCTCTCATCTGTAGCCTTCGTCCTTCAGATCTATACCTTAACTTCAATCATCTCTAGTCCACGTCCTACACATCTATACCTTCATGTCTTTTATCTCTGCCCCACGTCCTACACATCTATACCTTAACTTCTCTCATCTGTAGCGTACGTCCTTCAGATCTATACCTTATCGTCACTCATCTCTAGCCCACGTCCTACACATCTATACCTAAACTTTACACATATGCAGCCCACGTCCTACACATCTATACCTTAACTTCTCTCATCTGTAGCCTTCGTCCTTCAGATCTATACCTTAACTTCACTCATCTCTAGCCCACGTCCTACACATCTATACCTTCATGTCTTTTATCTCTGCCCCACGTCCTACACATCTATACCTTAACTTCTCTCATCTGTAGCCTTCGTCCTTCAGATCTATACCTTAACTTCTCTCATCTGTAGCCTTCGTCCTTCAGATCTATACCTTAACTTCAATCATCTCTAGTCCACGTCCTACACATCTATACCTTCATGTCTTTTATCTCTGCCCCACGTCCTACACATCTATACCTTAACTTCTCTCATCTGTAGCGTACGTCCTTCAGATCTATACCTTAACTTCACTCATCTCTAGCCCACGTCCTACACATCTATACCTAAACTTTACACATATGCAGCCCACGTCCTACACATCTATACCTTAACTTCTCTCATCTGTAGCCTTCGTCCTTCAGATCTATACCTTAACTTCACTCATCTCTAGCCCACGTCCTACACATCTATACCTAAACTTTACACATATGCAGCCCACGTCCTACACATCTATACCTTAACTTCTCTCATCTGTAGCCTTCGTCCTTCAGATCTATACCTTAACTTCACTCATCTCTAGCCCACGTCCTACACATCTATACCTTCATGTCTTTTATCTCTGCCCCACGTCCTACACATCTATACCTTAACTTCTCTCATCTGTAGCCTTCGTCCTTCAGATCTATACCTTAACTTCACTCATCTCTAGCCCACGTCCTACACATCTATACCTAAACTTTACACATATGCAGCCCACGTCCTACACATCTATACCTTAACTTCTCTCATCTGTAGCGTACGTCCTTCAGATCTATACCTTAACTGCACTCATCTCTGCCCAATGTCCTACACATCTGTACCTTAACTTCTCTCATCTGTAGCTTTCGTCCTTCAGATCTATACCTTAACTTCACTCATCTCTAGTCCACGTCCTACACATCTATACCTTAATATCTTTTATCTCTGCCCCACGTCCTACACATCTATACCTTAACTGCACTCATCTCTGCCCAATGTCCTACACATCTATACCTTAACTTCTCTCATCTGTAGCTTTCGTCCTTCAGATCTATACCTTAACTTCACTCATCTCTAGTCCACGTCCTACACATCTATACCTTAATGTCTTTTATCTCTGCCCCACGTCCTACACATCTATACCTTAACTGCACTCATCTCTGCCCAATGTCCTACACATCTATACCTTATCGTCACTCATATCTGGCCCACGTCCTACACATCCATACCTTAACGTTTTATCTTTTGCATAATTATAGCTTCACATTTGTAGTGTTGAGTAATATATTGTTAAGGATATCTGGACGATTTAACGGAATGTAATCCATGCATACGTGACAGCGGTTACACTCGATGGAATCTGTTGCTGATATTCGAGACAGTTTAGTCACTGTCGTTTATGCTTTGTATTTATCATTTAAGGTTTTGCAAAAGAACTCTACAGACAGTGTTACCATATATGTTTTAGTTAGTTTTCAGTCATTAAATAAATCAAAAACATGTTGACATAAGTAAGCCTTTAATCACCTCCTTCTTGGTGAGTTTTTCACACTCCTTCATTTCAGAGATGGAGAATTTTGAACTGGAGTCCAAAGATAGCGACTATGATGACGGTAAGTCTTCCCTGACGCATCCCATGCCGACAACCGCATCTCTAGCCTACACCCTTCACATCTACACATTAACTTCCCTCATCTCTAGCACACGTCCTACACATCTATACCTAAACTTTACATATATGCAGTCCACGTCCTACACATCTATACCTAAACTTTACACATATGCAGCCCACGTCCTACACATCTATACCTTAACTTCTCTCATCTGTAGCCTTCGTCCTTCAGATCTATACCTTAACTTCACTCATCTCTAGTCCACGTCCTACACATCTATACCTAAACTTTACACATATGCAGCCCACGTCCTACACATCTATACCTTAACTTCTCTCATCTGTAGCGTACGTCCTTCAGATCTATACCTTAACTTCACTCATCTCTAGTCCACGTCCTACACATCTATACCTAAACTTTACACATATGCAGCCCACGTCCTACACATCTATACCTTAACTTCTCTCATCTGTAGCGTACGTCCTTCAGATCTATACCTTAACTTCTCTCATCTGTAGCGTACGTCCTTCAGATCTATACCTTAACTTCACTCATCTCTAGCCCACGTCCTATACATCTATACCTAAACTTTACACATATGCAGCCCACGTCCTTCAGATCTATACCTTAACTTCACTCATCTCTAGCCCACATCCTATACATCCATACCCTTACTTCACTCATCTCTAGCCAACGTCCTTCACATCTATACCTTAACTTCACTCATCTCTAGCCCACATCCTATACATCCATACCCTTACTTCACTCATCTCTAGCCAACGTCCTTCACATCTATACCCCTACTTCACTCATCTCTAACCAACGCCCTACACATCTATATCTTAACTTCACTCATCTCTGCTCAATGGACTACACATCTATATCTTAACTTCACTCATCTCTGCTCAATGGACTACACATCTATATCTTAACTTCACTCATCTCTAGCCAACGTCCTACATATCTTTAGCTTAACTTCACTCATCTCTGCTCAATGGACTACATATCTATAGCTTAACTTCACTCATCTCTGCTCAATGGACCACACATCTATATCTTAACTTCACTCATCTCTAGCCAACGTCCTACATATCTATAGCTTAACTTCACTCATCTCTGCTCAATGGACTACACATCTATATCTTAACTTCACTCATCTCTGCTCAATGGACTACATATCTATAGCTTAACTTCACTCATCTCTGCTCAATGGACTACACATCTATATCTTAACTTCACTCATCTCTGCTCAATGGACTACACATCTATAGCTTAACTTCACTCATCTCTGCTCAATGGACTACATATCTATAGCTTAACTTCACTCATCTCTGCTTAATGTCCTACACATCTGTACCTTAACTTCACTCATCTCTAGTCCACGTCCTACACATCTATACCTGAATGTCTTTTATCTCTGCCCCACGTCCTACACATCTATACCTTAACTGCACTCATCTCTGCCCAATGTCCTACACATCTATACCTTATCGTCACTCATATCTGGCCCACGTCCTACACATCCATACCTTAACGTTTTATCTTTTGCATAATTATAGCTTCACATTTGTAGTGTTGAGTAATATATTGTTAAGGATATCTGGACGATTTAACGGAATGTAATCCATGCATACGTGACAGCGGTTACACTCGATGGAATCTGTTGCTGATATTCTAGACAGTTTAGTCACTGTCGTTTATGCTTTGTATTTATCATTTAAGGTTTTGCAAAAGAACTCTACAGACAGTGTTACCATATATGTTTTAGTTAGTTTTCAGTCATTAAATAAATCAAAAACATGTTGACATAAGTAAGCCTTTAATCACCTCCTTCTTGGTGAGTTTTTCACACTCCTTCATTTCAGAGATGGAGAATTTTGAACTGGAGTCCAAAGATAGCGACTATGATGACGGTAAGTCTTCCCTGACGCATCCCATGCCGACAACCGCATCTCTAGCCTACACCCTTCACATCTATACATTAACTTCCCTCATCTCTAGCACACGTCCTACACATCTATACCTAAACTTTACATATATGCAGTCCACGTCCTACACATCTATACCTAAACTTTACACATATGCAGCCCACGTCCTACACATCTATACCTTAACTTCTCTCATCTGTAGCCTTCGTCCTTCAGATCTATACCTTAACTTCACTCATCTCTAGTCCACGTCCTACACATCTATACCTAAACTTTACACATATGCAGCCCACGTCCTACACATCTATACCTTAACTTCTCTCATCTGTAGCGTACGTCCTTCAGATCTATACCTTAACTTCACTCATCTCTAGTCCACGTCCTACACATCTATACCTAAACTTTACACATATGCAGCCCACGTCCTACACATCTATACCTTAACTTCTCTCATCAGTAGCGTACGTCCTTCAGATCTATACCTTAACTTCTCTCATCTGTAGCGTACGTCCTACACATCTATACCTTAACTTCTCTCATCTGTAGCCTACGTCCTTCAGATCTATACCTTAACTTCACTCATCTCTAGCCCACGTCCTATACATCTATACCTAAACTTTACACATATGCAGCCCACGTCCTTCAGATCTATACCTTAACTTCACTCATCTCTAGCCCACATCCTATACATCCATACCCTTACTTCACTCATCTCTAGCCAACGTCCTTCACATCTATACCTTAACTTCACTCATCTCTAGCCCACATCCTATACATCCATACCCTTACTTCACTCATCTCTAGCCAACGTCCTTCACATCTATACCCCTACTTCACTCATCTCTAACCAACGCCCTACACATCTATATCTTAACTTCACTCATCTCTGCTCAATGGACTACACATCTATATCTTAACTTCACTCATCTCTGCTCAATGGACTACACATCTATATCTTAACTTCACTCATCTCTAGCCAACGTCCTACATATCTTTAGCTTAACTTCACTCATCTCTGCTCAATGGACTACACATCTATATCTTAACTTCACTCATCTCTGCTCAATGGACTACATATCTATAGCTTAACTTCACTCATCTCTGCTCAATGGACCACACATCTATATCTTAACTTCACTCATCTCTAGCCAACGTCCTACATATCTATAGCTTAACTTCACTCATCTCTGCTCAATGGACTACACATCTATATCTTAACTTCACTCATCTCTGCTCAATGGACTACATATCTATAGCTTAACTTCACTCATCTCTGCTCAATGGACTACACATCTATATCTTAACTTCACTCATCTCTGCTCAATGGACTACACATCTATAGCTTAACTTCACTCATCTCTGCTCAATGGACTACATATCTATAGCTTAACTTCACTCATCTCTGCTTAATGTCCTACACATCTGTACCTTAACTTCACTCATCTCTAGTCCACGTCCTACACATCTATACCTGAATGTCTTTTATCTCTGCCCCACGTACTACACATCTATACCTTAACTGCACTCATCTCTGCCCAATGTCCTACACATCTGTACCTTAACTTCTCTCATCTGTAGCTTTCGTCCTTCAGATCTATACCTTAACTTCACTCATCTCTAGTCCACGTCCTACACATCTATACCTTAATGTCTTTTATCTCTGCCCCACGTCCTACACATCTATACCTTAACTGCACTCATCTCTGCCCAATGTCCTACACATCCATAACTTAATGTTTTATCTTTTGCATAATTATAGCTTCGCATTTGTACAGTGTTGAGTAATATATTGTTAAGGATATCTGGACGATTTAACGGAATGTAATCCATGCATACGTAACAGCGGTTACACTCGATGGAATCTGTTGCTGATATTCGAGACAGTTTAGTCACTGTCGTTTATGCTTTGTATTTATCATTTAAGGTTTTGCAAAAGAACTCTACAGCAAGAGGAGTTTTGTCCGAGATGAAATGAGGATTGTCCTGATAGGGAAGACGGGGTCTGGGAAGAGTGCCACGGGTAACACTATCACAGGGCAGAAGACGTTTGAGTCCAAGTTGAGCGGATCTTCCGTTACAGCCAGATGTAAAGAAGTCATGTTCAAGAGATCTGACAGACACATTCTGGTCGTGGACACCCCTGGGTTGTTTGATACAAACGCATCTAAGGCCGATACAACTAAGGAAATCAAGAGATGTGTGCTGCTGACATCACCGGGCATCCATGCTGTGTTTCTTGTCACCAAAATTGGGAGGTTTACAGAAGAAGAGAACAAAACTGTAAACTATTTCAAGAAGGTGTTTGGAGAGGGACTGAAGGATTACCTCATGGTTATCTTCACTGGCAAGGATGACTTGGATGCAGAGGAGACCACCGTGGAGAACTATGTGAAGACGGCTCCACCAGAGCTTCAGCGGGTGCTGGCAGAATGCAACAACAGATACATGACTCTCAATAACAGGGCGTCAAAAGAGGAGAAGGAAGCATTTGTAAAACAACTCATTGCCAACATTGACGAAATGGTACAATCCAATGGCGGTAAATGTTACACAACTGTTATGTTCAAGAAGGCAGAAGCCATAGTGAAGAAATGAGAGGAGGAAGAAAGGAGGAAGCTGGAGGAAGCGAAGAGAGAAGAACAAGAAGCAGTTGTGCGCAGCATCAAGGAAAAGTATGATGGCGTGTTGCAGGATCAGGACATCAAGATGCAGGGTCTGCAGAATCACCTGCAGGTGTTGCAGGAGGCGGGCAAAGAGGAACAAAAGGAGCATCAGCAGGCAGTGGATCATCTGAAACAAAAACTTGACAGAACTGAAGCTGAGAGAAAGCAAATTGAGGTTGATAGAAGGAAGTGGGAGGAAGAGAGGGGGAAGGAGATGGAGAAGAAAGAGGAGGACATGAACAAGGCAATGATTATGATGATGGACAAGATGGAGGAAGATAGAAAGAAGAGAGAAATTGAAATGGAGAAAAAGATGAATCTACTTGAAAATGAAAGGAAGAAGCGGGAGGAAGATGCAAGGCTGAGGAAAGCTGAGAGGGAAAAAGAAAGAGAGAAACAGAGGCTGGAACTTAAGCAGCTTGAGAAAGAGAAACAAAAGGAGCTTACAAATATGAGAGAAGAACAGAAAAAGCAAAAGGATATTTTTCAACGAAAACTTGATGAACAGGCAAGGAAAAATGCAAGAAAACGGTCTGAAGGTGGAAGATCCTGTTCCATCATGTGAACATGTCATTCTGATCTGCATCAGTGGACGCTCCTCTTGCTGGTATCCAACGCAAGTCCCACACAGTATACATAAGACTAATAAACTCAACTACTTTTGTTACCTTTCATTTTTAACTCTTTATTCCCGTTTTATAAGTTTGCGTTTAAACCCATTTTTGCCATATGCAGGTCAGGTTATGGAATACTGAATAAATGTAAACCTTGCAAGGGATGCCATGCCATTTGATTGGCTGAACAAGCAATTTTCGAAGGTAGTACACGCCCACTAGCTGATTACCGCTTCCTGATAGGATCTGATAATAAAGTGTTGCATTATTGGGTTCATTTATGTCACTGATTTCGTATGTCTACAGTTTTGTGTTTATGTTAATGATTTCATGAGCAGTCTGTGAAGCTATAATGCTAATTATTTATACGATTTGACTACATCATCTGGGGATTCTGTTTTAGAACTGGTATCCCAGCAACCTGTGCTGGTCGTAAGAGGCGACCAAATGGATTGGATGGTCAGGATCGATGACTTTGTTCATAGAGCTTCATCGTACCTGACGGCGTGGAAAGTCGATCACAATATCAATCACTGCATTGTCTGGTCCAGACTCGATGACTTACAGACTGCCGTCATACAGCTGGAATATTGCTGAGTGCGGCGATAAACACACAAATAAACATATTTCAATTTGTGTTTGTGTTTATAAACGTAAAATCCTATTTCTATCTCGAACATAACTATAAATAAATTTGCCCCACCTGAACTTCTACTGGAAATGAACGACGTGTAGAACTTAACGAGGTTGACCAGAGACAATGCATGGTGCTCTTGACAAGTGAGTGAGGTGGGATTTACGCCGCACTTTTAGCAAAGAAACTGGTCTCAACGAAGGAATTGTCTGAGCTGTTGCTATCCATTTCGTAGATGCTTCAAAGGAATATGGTTTATTGTCTTATGTTCTTCCATACAACATACCCATTATACATGTGCATCTTTGACATTAATCGGAATCCTGTCTACTACATAACAAGGGTGAGGAAAGTAAGGGTATGGATTCTCTATGATGCATCCTGGTAATACTTGACAAGAGTTTCTGTCTACAAACACTACTGATGCTTGGTGACTCACTTCTGAAAGAAACGTTAAGTTCATTGCAATTATTTTATCACAATGTGTTCCCATTTAAGATCCTTGTAGATATATCAGTGTTTTCTTATGCTCTCAACAACTTAGACTGGAGTTAGAAATAAGTTAGAAGAGGCTGCCCACAAGCCCACCAAATGTAAAACACCAAAGCAAGACTATAACCAATCTCGATTATAAAGAAATTCCTTTTGTCTATAGTTACAACTGTTTCAAATGTTTGGTGATTATTTACGAAAGAGAAGGTAAGATTATTAACAACCTTTCTACCAGAACATGTTGCCATTGCAGATCCTTGGAGAGACCTAGTACCAGGACATAGAGAGGAATCGAAGCCTCACAATGAAGGTTTGTTAATCCACGTATTTCTGATATTCACCTGCGGTCTTTCTTCCCCATGTCAACTACAGCAAATAACTTTATAATAAAATATGTTGAGAAAACTACAAATTGTATTTGAATGTTTTCAGCATTTCTTGAGAGTCTTTATGCCGGGAGGAGTTTTGTGAAGGATGAGACGAGGATAGTTTTAATTGGGAAGACTGGATCTGGAAAGAGTGCCACAGGAAACACACTGGCTGGAACTCAGGCGTTCGTGTCGAAACTCTGCGGTGCATCTATAACCAAAGAGTGTCAACAGGAGATGGTGAGAAGGTTCGATCGACATATTCAGATTGTGGACACTCCTGGATTGTTTGACACAGGAATGACAAACGAAATGTCGTCTAGAGAAATCATGAAGTGTGTGGCGATGACCTCTCCTGGACTTCACTCTATTGTCCTGGTTACCAGACTGAACCGTTTTACAGAGGAAGAACAACAGACTGTCCAGTATTTCATGAAGGTCTTTGGGAAAGACGTTTTGAACTACCTCGTTGTTGTTTTCACGGGAAAAGATGACCTGGACCAGCATGGGATGACCATTGAGACCTTTATCCAGGATAGCCCTGGTCCTCTGAGGAAACTGATTGCTGACTGTAAAGGTCGTTACTATGCTCTCAACAACTTCATGTCTGACATTGAGAAAGAAGAATGGGTGAAGCATTTCCTCCAGGGGATTGATAGGCTGGTGTCGTCCAATGGTGGACGATGTTACACAACTGAAATGTATCGTAAAGCCGAATCACTGATGAAAGAACGAGAACAGGAACTGAAGAAGAAACTGGAGGAACAGCAGCAGGCAGAGCGGGAGATGATAGAACAGAGCATCATGGTCAAGTATGATGAGATGACGCAAAGTCAGGATGAGAAGATGACTGAACTTAAGACACAGCTACAGGCGATGGAACGGAAAGGCTTAGATGACAAGACAAGGTACCAGGGAGCTGTGAATGAGCTGCAGAATAAACTTGCGAAGGCTGATCGGGAGAGGAAGCAGATAGAAGTTGACAGGATAAAGTATGAGGATGAGAGGAGGAAAGAAATGGAGAAAGGAGAGAAAGACAGGGATGAGGCGATGTTAAAAATGATGTATAGAATGGAAGAAGACAGACGAAGAAGGGAGGAGGAATTGAATGAGACCATGGAGAGAATTGAAGTCGAAAGAAGGGAGAGGGATGCTGAAATTATGAGATTGGAGAAGGAGAATAGAAAACGTGAAGGGGAACATAGAGAGGAGGTGATGCAGCTTCAGAAGAAAAAACAGTCTGAGCTTGAAAAGATGCAGGATGATATGAGGGCTGAGAGGGAATCAAAAGCCCGTAGGCTGGAGGAGGTAGCCAGAGGCATGGCAAGGGATGAGGCAAAGGATGATGGGTCGGGCATATTTGCAAAACTCAAGGGCGGCATAAAGAAAGTTGCTAGCTCTTTGGGGTTCCTGTAAAGGTGTCTTATGAATTTGCTTAAGAACGAGAATGAATGGTAAACTTGCATATTGTTGAATGATGTTGTAAGTAGGATAAAGACAGCATTTGCAGGTAAACACGCCTTTAGAATATCAAGTATAATGAGTGTTTATGTTAAAAATCAGAACTGCTCCATTATATATAGAGATTTTACTGATTTTACGAAACAAGTATCTGAATTCTTGTATTTTATGAGCGACAGTGGGGTTAACACATGAATTCTTTCACGAGTTTCCTACAATCAGTATGACGCACTTGCAAGTGTGATAATTTATTTAATACCCATTATTTCTTAATCGTTTTGAGCTTCCTTTGCACTGATCACAACCGCCGCCTTAAAAAAACACGATTGTCGAATGATGTCAGCCATCTGCAGCTATGATGTTGTTTCTAGTGAGACGTCCTTCCGACATGACGTCAGAATAGCATTCGAATGACGGCAAAGATGGCGTAGGGATGACTCAAACAATACAATGGTGCGCGTGAAGAGATATTTGGACTATATTGCACATACAATTTTTATTAACTCGGTTATTTCTAACACAATGGGTAATAATAACACTTATGATAATCTAAATATTCGTCTAATCACTATTTTGGTAGTTTGTGATACTGCAGTGTATTTTAGTTACTTATGTTCTTGGTTTTGTAACAATCACTAGTACTAAATAAATCTTGTTTAACAGTCTAAAATCTCTCTCTTCAATCTATATGTCTGTGATATGTTTAATATTCTAGAACCGTCTATGTTGTCCTATGGGTTCGAGCCTCGGCCGCGTCATACCAAAATACGTTAACAAATGGTACTTGTTGTTACCCTGCCTGGTGCTCGAGGGTTTAAAACAAGGGCTGGTCGGCTCGGAGTCAGTAGACTGTGTCTGAGTGGGGCATTCATGTTAAACTGCGGCATGGTATGTCAGTGGGCTAGCACTATAAAACCGGCATTAGTCCGGACTAGTATAAGCAGAACCACATACGTCGCTATATCAGTGCAATATAATCTAAGACGCGACGTTAAACCCCATTTCACCTAAACTTAATCTGTTACCACCAAACACCTACTCGTGGGGTTCAACGACGATGTAAAGTATCTACTGTCTTCGTCACGTTATGTGTTGAACCTGAAATACAAATTGTAAATAAACAAAAACGCCCGATTGTACTTCACCACACAACACTTTGTATTTCACAACACAACACATTGTAATTCACAATACAACATATTGTACTTACACAGTGTACTTCATCACCCGCAACACACTGTACTTCACAAGACAACACACTGCACTTCGTCACACAACACATTGCACTTCACAAGACAACACATTGTACTTCACCAAACAACACATTGTAATTCACGATACAGCATATTGTACTTAACCACAAACCACATCGTACTTCACCACAAACAACACATTGTATTTAACCACACAACACATTGTACTTCACAAGACAACACATTGCACTTTTCCCCACAACACATTGTTATGCGCCTCACTCAAGTCATTCTACTTCACCAGACAACACTACGTACTTCACCACACAGCACATTGTTCTTCACAACACAACACATTGCACTCCACCACACAACACATTGCACTTCACGACAGAACACACTGCACTTCACGACAGAACACACTGCACTTCACAACAGAACACACTGTACTTCACGAATAAAAACACTACTTCACGACACAACACTTTACACTCCACCACATTCCACTCCACAACACAACACATTGCACTCCACCACACAACACATTGCACTCCACAACACAACACATTGCATTCCACCACACAACACATTGCACTCTACGACACATCACATTACATTACACTTCACTACACAACACATTGCACTCCACCACACAACACATTGCACTCCACCACACAACACACTGTACATCACGACACAACACCTTACACTCCACCACACAACACATTGCACTTCACCACACAACACACTGTACATCACAACACAACACCTTACACTCCACCACACACCACATTCACTCCACCACACAACACATTGCACTCCACCACACAACACATTAGACTTCACGAAACAACACATTGCACTCCACAAGACAACACATTGCACTCCACCACACACCACATTCACTCCATCACACAACACATTGCACTCCACCACACAACACATTGGACTTCACGAAACAACACATTGCACTCCACAAGACAACACATTGCACTCCACGACAGAACACATTGCACTCCACCACACACCACATTGCACTCCACGACAGAACACATTGCACTTCACCACGCAACACATTGCACTCCACCACACACCACATTGCACTCCACGACAGAACACATTGCACTTTACCACACAACACATTGCACTCCACCACAGAACACATTGCACTCCACCACACAACACATTGCACTCCACGGCAGAACACATTGCACCCCACCACACACCACATTGCACTCCAGGACAGAACACACTGCTCTCCAGCACACAAGACATTGCACTCTACAAGACAACACATTGCACTTCACCAAACAGCATTGTGCGCTTCACCACACAACACTTTGCACTTCACGACAGAACAGATTGCACTTCACCACACAACACATTGCACTTCACGACAGAACACATTGCACTTCACGACACAACACATTGCACTCCACGACAGAACACACTGCACTTCAAGACAGAACACGCTGCACTCCACCACACATCACATTGCACCCCAACACACACCACATTGCACTTCACGACAGAAGACATTGCACTTCACCAAACAGCACATTGCGCTCCACTAAACAACACATTTAACTTCACGACAGAACACATTCCACTTCACCAAACGGCACATTGCACTTCACCACAAAACATATTGCACTCAACCACTAAATACGTTGCACTTCACGGCAGAACACATTGCACTCCACCACACAACACATTGCACTCCATTAGAGCAACACATTGCTCTCCAACACACAACATTTTCCACTTCAAGACAGAACAAATTGCACTCCACCACACAACACACCGTACTTCACAACACAACACACTGTACTTCACCACACAACACATTGCACTCTACTACACAACACATTGCACTTTACGAGAGAACACATTGCACTTCACGACAGAACACATTGCACTTCACCAAACGGTACATGGCACTTCACCACAAAACATATTGCACTCCACTACACAACATATTACACTCCACCACACAACATATTGCACTCCACCACATAACATATTGCACTCCACCACACAACATATTGCACTCAACCACACAACACATTGCACTCCACAACACAACACAACACATTGCACTTCACGACAGAACACATTGCACTCAACCACACAACACAACACATTGCACTTAACGACACAACATGCTGTACTTCACGACACAACACTTTACACTCCACCACACACCACATAACACATTGCACTTCACGACAGAACACATTGTACTCCACCACACAACACATTGCACTTCACGACAGAACACATTGCTCTTCACAACACAACACATTTCACTTCACCACACAACACATTGTACTTCACAACACAACACATTGTCCTTTATCACACAACACATTGTGCTTCACCATACAACACATTGCATTCCACCACACAACTCATTTTACTTCAGCACACACCACATTGCACTCCACCACACAACACACTGTACTTCACAACACAACACACTGTACTTCACCACACAACAAGACATTTTACTTCACCACACAAGACATTTTACTTCACCACACAACACACTGTACTTCACCACACAACACATTGTACTTCACAACATTCAACACATGGTACTTAACCACACAACACACTGTACTTCACCACACAACACATTGTACTTTACTACACACAACAGATTGTACTTCACAACACAGTTAATTATACTCCCAACACAACACATTGTACTTCACCACACAACAACACAGGGTACTTCGTTGCACAGAAACACATTGTACTTCCCCACACAACACATTGTACTTTACTACACACAACACATTGTACTTCACAACACAAGAACACATTGCACTTCGTCGCACACAAACACAGTGCACTTCGTCGCACAAAAACACATTGTACTTCTCCACACAAGAGCACAGTGTACTTCGTCACATAAAAACACATTGTACTTCTTCACACAAGAGCACAGTGTACTTCGTCGCATAAAAACACATTGTACTTCTCCACACAAGAGCACAGTGTACTTCGTCGCATAAAAACACATTGTACTTCTCCACACAAGAGCACAGTGCACTTCGTCGCATAAAAACACATTGTACTTCTCCACACAAGAGCACAGTGTACTTCGTCGCATAAAAACACCTTGTACTCCACCACACAACACATTGCACTTCACGACAGAACACATTGTACTCCACCACACAACACATTGCACTTCATGACAGAACACATTGCTCTTCACAACACAACACATTTCACTTCACCACACAACACATTGCACTGCACGACAGAACACACTGCACTTCACGACAGAACACACTGCACTCCACCACACAACACATTGCACTCCTCCACACAACACACTGTACTTCACCACACAACACATTGTACTTCTCCACACAAGAGCACGGTGTACTTCGTCACATAAAAACACATTGTACTTCTCCACACAAGAGCACAGTGTACTTCGTCGCATAAATACACATTGTACTTCTCCACACAAGAGCACAGTGTACTTCGTCGCATAAAAACACATTGTACTTCTCCACACAAGAGCACAGTGCACTTCGTCGCATAAAAACACATTGTACTTCTCCACACAAGAGCACAGTGTACTTCGTCGCATAAATACACATTGTACTTCTCCACACAAGAGCACAGTGTACTTCGTCGCATAAAAACACATTGTACTCCACCACACAACACATTGCACTTCACGACAGAACACATTGTACTCCACCACACAACACATTGCACTTCACGACAGAACACATTGCTCTTCACAACACAACACATTTCACTTCACCACACAACACATTGCACTGCACGACAGAACACACTGCACTTCATGACAGAACACACTGCACTCCACCACACATCACATTGCACCCCACCACACAACACATTGCACTCCTCCACACAACACACTGTACTTCACCACACAACACACTGTACTTCACCACAAAACAACACATTTTACGTCACCACACAACAACACATTTTACTTCACCACCCAACACACTGTACTTCACCACACAACACATTGTACTTCCCCATATAACAAATTGAACTTCACCATACACAACACATGGTACTTCACCACACAACACATTGTACTTCACAACACAACACATTGTCCTTTATCACACAACACATTTTACTTCACCACACAACACATTTTACTTCACCACACACCACACTGCACTCCACCACACAACACATTGTACTCCACCACACAACACATTGCACTTCACCATACACCACATTGCACTCCACCACACAACACATTATACTTCACAACACAACACACTGTACTTCACCACACAACAAGACATTTTACTTCACCACACAACAAGACATTTTATTTCATCACACAACACACTGTACTTCACCACACAACACATTGTACTTCCCCATACAACAAATTGAACTTCACCACACAACACATTGTACTTCACAACACAACACATTGTCCTTTATCACACAACACATTTTACTTCACCACACACCACATTGCACTCCACCACACAACACACTGTACTTCACAACACAACACACTGTACTTCACCACACAACAAGACATTTTACTTCACCACACAACAAGACATTTTACTTCACCACACAACACACTGTACTTCACCACACAACACATTGTACTTCACAACATTCAACACATGGTACTTAACCACACAACACACTGTACTTCACCACACAACACATTGTACTTTACTACACACAACAGATTGTACTTCACAACACAGTTAATTATACTCCCAACACAACACATTGTACTTCACCACACAACAACACAGGGTACTTCGTTGCACAGAAACACATTGTACTTCCCCACACAACACATTGTACTTTACTACACACAACACATTGTACTTCACAACACAAGAACACATTGCACTTCGTCGCACACAAACACAGTGCACTTCGTCGCACAAAAACACATTGTACTTCTCCACACAAGAGCACGGTGTACTTCGTCACATAAAAACACATTGTACTTCTCCACACAAGAGCACAGTTTACTTCGTCGCATAAAAACACATTGTACTTCTCCACACAAGAGCACAGTGTACTTCGTCGCATAAAAACACATTTTACGTCACCACACAACAACACATTTTACTTCACCACCCAACACACTGTACTTCACCACACAACACATTGTACTTCCCCATATAACAAATTGAACTTCACCATACACAACACATGGTACTTCACCACACAACACATTGTACTTCACAACACAACACATTGTCCTTTATCACACAACACATTTTACTTCACCACACACCACATTGCACTCCACCACACAACACACTGTACTTAACAACACAACACACTGTACTTCACCACACAACAAGACATTTTACTTCACCACACAACAAGACATTTTACTTCACCACACAACACACTGTACTTCACCACACAACACATGGTACTTCACAACATTCAACACATGGTACTTCACCACACAACACACTGTACTTCACCACACAACACATTGTACTTTACTACACACAACAGATTGTACTTCACAACACAACTAATTATACTCCCAACACAACACATTGTACTTCACCACACAACTAATTATACTCCCAACACAACAGATTGTACTTCACAACACAACTAATTATACTCCCAACACAACACATTGTACTTCCCCATACAGCAAATTGACCTTCACCACACAACACATTGTACTTCACAACATTCAACACATGGTACTTCACCACACAACACACTGTACTTCACCACACAACACATTGTACTTTACTTCACACAACAGATTGTACTTCACAACACAACTAATTATACTCCCAACACAACACATTGTACTTCACCACACAACTAATTATACTCCCAACACAACAGATTGTACTTCACAACACAACTAATTATACTCCCAACACAACACATTGTACTTCCCCATACAGCAAATTGACCTTCACCACACAACACATTGTACTTCACAACATTCAACACATGGTACTTCACCACACAACACACTGTACTTCGGGGCGGTCGGGTAGCCTAGTGGTTAAAGCGTTCGCTCGTCACGCCGAAGACCCGGGTTCGATTCCCGACATGGGCACAATGTGTGAAGCCCATTTCTGGTGTCCCCCGCCGTGATATTGCTGGAATATTGCTAAAAGCGGCGTAAAACCATACTCACTCACTCACACTGTACTTCACCACCCAACACATTGTACTTTACTACACACAACAGATTGTACTTCACAACACAACTAATTATACTCCCAACACAACACATTGTACTTCACAACACAACAACACAGGGTACTTCGTTGCACAAAAACACATTGTACTTCACAACACAAGAACACATTGCACTTCGTCACACATTGTACTTCTCCACACAAGAGCACGGTGTACTTCGTCGCATAAAAACACATTGTACTTCTCCACACAAGAGCACAGTGTACCTCGTCGCATAAAAACACATTGTACTTCTCCACACAAGAGCACAGTGCACTTCGTCGCATAAAAACACATTGTACTTCTCCACACAAGAGCACAGTGTACTTCGTCGCATAAAAACACATTGTACTTCTCCACACAAGAGCACAGTGCACTTCGTCGCATAAAAACACATTGTTATTCACAACATTCAACACATAGAACTTCACCAGAGAATACCTTGTACTTCACAACCCACAGTACCTCGTACTTCAGCCCGAGTAATCTACATGTATCCACTCACATCTCAACGATGGTATTCGATCTACGAAATCATGTCGTTTCTTGTGTCATTATGATAGAGCGACAAGCGTATGACTGATTATACCATTGGAGGGTGCACGTTGTGCTATATCCATTCCCGCATTCCACAACATCTCTGCGAACTACACTCTCTCAAAAAGGAAACGCAACCCCTATATTTTCAAGATGTTTATCTCAATATTCAAGTTCTTATAACACATAATATTATTGAACACAACAATATGAAATTTGGCATGGTGGCAGTACAGTTATGCAAGTTTAAGTCCAGACTTCGACAGTTCTCTCACTAAGATTGACTTGACGCAAGGGGGCATCTTTCTCAGTACCTCGTATGAGCGCCACGAGCTGCGATCACAGCATTACACCTCCTAGGAACAGAACCGATTAGACGCGGGATTCTTTCCTGAGGGATTGCTCTCCACTCCTCCTGCAGTGCAACGGCTAGTGCATCCAACGTCTGCGGCGGCGGTGTACGTGCACGTACTCGTCGGTCCAGATAATCCCAAAGATGTTCGATTGGGTTGATGTCTGGTGATCGGGAGGGCCATGGTAACACGTTGACGTTAGAATTCTGGAGAAAATTCACTGTTGCATGAGCAGTGTGCGGCCGGGCGTTGTCGTGTTGATAGAGCTCCCTCTGTTGATCGATAATCGGTAGAAGATGAGGCTGTAAGACGTCATTGATATAGCGCTGGGCTGTCAAATTGCCACGAATGATCACCAAGTCTGATCTTTGGTTGTAAGACATGTCTCCCCACACCATGACGCTCCCTCCTCCAAATCTGTCGACCTGTCGAACACAGTTCAGGGCAAAATGCTCGTTTCCTCTTCTATAGACACGCTGTTTCCGTCACGGCGTTGTAAGAAAAAACGTGTTTCGTCACTAAATCAGACGCGCCTCCAGTTTCTGAGGGTCCATATACCGAACGTTGGTGCACCACCTGAGTCGTTGGCGTCAATGTTTGTGGCGTAAAACAGGTCCAATAAGTGGTCTCCTTGCACGTAGACCGGCCTCTCGTAGATGGTTCCTAATTGTTTGTGCGGACACTCTTCTCAAACCTGGCACCTGTGTTGCAGTGACGGTAGGTGTGGCTAGCCGATTACGTAGGTGGGTGACCTGGATGAATCGATCCTGGGGTGGTGTGGTAACCCTTGGCCTACCACTTCTGGGGCGATCTTCAGTTGCATGAAACTGGGAGTATTGGCTCCAAAGTAGGGAATCGTTGTTTTATGAATATTAAGGTGCCAGGCAACGTTTCCAAAGCTTTGTCCGGCCTCAATACGACAAATTGCGATATTTCGATCTGCAGCACTCAACCGTGGCATATTCGACCTTGTCTTTCGGTGACAATGATAGAGTGAATTGCTAATCAACACGTGCTTTTATAAACCCATACTTCTACTGCTCTTTCCATGAATTGCACGTGCATGAGGCTTTTGGCATGGGCCACGTGAACATTTTGCTCACTATTATAAAAGTAACAATAAAATGCCCTTGTGCACGAAAATTAATGTGTTTGGGCGCTTACGTTAATAAACAGTGTACATGGTATACGTGCATATCAGAAAAACTGTATTTACAATCAACATTTTTCATTTTGGGGCTTTCTAACATTTTCAGACTGGGGTTGCGTTTCTTTTTTGAGAGAGTGTATATTTTCATTATTATCATTATTATTATTATTATTATTATTATAGCATGTATTTCTTCTACAATCAGATATGTTTGTTTGTTTGTTTGTTGTTTAACGCCCCACTCAGCAATATTCCAGCTATATGACGGCGGTCTGTATATAATCGAGTCTGGACCAGACAATCCAGTGATTAATATCATGAGCATCGATCCACGCAATTGGGAGCGATGACATGCATCAACCAAGTCAGCGAGCCTGACCACCCGATCCTGTTAGTCGCCTTTTACGACAAGCAGAGTCACCTTTTACGGCAAGCATGGGTTGCTGAAGACCTATTCTACCCCGGAATCTTCACGGGTCACAATCAGATATGCTTAAAGTTCATTCATGGTAACCATGGCATTTGGTTCATACATACAGTGGGGTTTTATTGTTTAAACTTGTGCCATATGACACAAGTCAGGAAATATACATTATGCATGCATGTACCAGCATGTATCATACCAGCAACTGCAACATACTCATACCCATAGTCATCTTTACTTTCACTCACTCAGCAATCGACACAGGGTCATCCCCACAGGGCTACAACAGTGAAGAGGAGGACATGGGTGAGGATACCTTACATGTGCTGGTGAGGTGAGGTGAAATTGGGTTTAACGTCGCGTCCAAGATTATTGCACTTATATAGCAACGTGCATGCACGTGTATGTGTGTGTGTGGCTGCTTGTACTAGTCCGGACTGATGCCGATTTATAGTGCTAGCTCACTGAGATACCATGCCGCAGTTTAACATGAATACCCCACTCAGACACAGTATACTGACTCCGAGCCGACCAGTCCTTGTTTTAGCCCCTTAATGCCGAGCGCCAGACAGGGTAACAACAAGTACAATCTTTTAACGTCTTTTTGTATGACGCGGCCCGGGATCGAACCCTGGACCTTCCGCTCTCCGGGCGGACGCTCTACCACAAGACCACGGAGGCGGTCTTACATGTGCAGGAACCAGTTACTGAAAGGACATAATGATTGGCCATAAAGCAGACACCTATGATTAGGAGACATGATGACATTCCTAGAGGTGTCCACAGGTACAGATGCCAGATAAGAATATATCCTTTGTATCATCAACGTAGTTATTTTCTGTGAACTGAGCTGACTAACCTGTCCTCCCTGATATGAAAGATATTCTATATAAATAATGAAATTGATGTAATAGTGAGTGAGTATGGTTTAACGCCACTTTTAGCAATATTCCAGCAATATCACGGCGGGGGACACCACAAATGGACTTCACACATTGTACCCATGTCGGGAATCGAACCCGGGTCTTCGGCGTGACGAGCGAACGCTTTAACCACTAGGCTACCCGACCACCCCAATTGATGTAATACCCCGGTATGTGTAATATATAGGAATTTTGTATTCTGTTTCAGAAACTAGCACTGATCCACTTCCAGACACTAGACAAGTTTCAAGGGCATTCTTTCAGAAAGAGGTAAGAGTTTCAAGATAAATAACAATAAATGGTCAGTTTCTATATAGATTTCATTGGGTTTTTCTCTAGGAGCAAAATCTTGCCATGTATCTACAGAACCTGATGCAGGGAAACTTCAGGTAAGAGGTATTCAAGTATAGGCCAAACCTAAGACAGTTCTGAAGAGCCACAGGTAAGAGGTATTCAAGTATAGGCCAAACCTAAGACAGTTCTGAAGAGCCACAGGTAAGAGGTATTCAAGTATAGGCCAAACCTAAGACAGTTCTGAAGAGCCACAGGTTAGAGGTATTCAAGTATAGGCCAAACCTAAGACAGTTCTGAAGAGCCACAGGTTAGAGGTATTCAAGTATAGGCCAAACCTAAGACAGTTCTGAAGGGCCACAAAGTTAAATGTCATGAAATTGACGTCATTGCTCCTTTTGAAATCATGTAAGGAAGAGAAAAGTTTATGTTTATATGAGTGTATCCTGGATGTCTCCATAAGGTTCTTATTGTATACATATATATACAGATTGAAAGTGTTTGGCACATTTCTATTAGATCCCAAACCCTACTTACCGGTAATAACTTCTACTGCATGTTCCTTCATACTCTAAACATCTGACCAATGTATGTTTAGCAAAGGCAGTAACAGATGTGTATGTACATACTCTCCTTACAGTGGTGACAGGGACGGAAGGGGACAGAGGCACACAATGTTTCTGGAGAGCTATCCCTATCAGGATGTTAAGGCAGGATTTGCATCCCAATTCATACCTGCAGAGGTACAGTGCTTAAATAAAGATGTTAAGTACAATGTTACTCTTGCAAAGTCACCTCCATGGCAGTTGAAGACCACATGTCTTATGATTTGTAATGCTTGAAATTACTAAACTGTTAATACAGAAAAAGATAAATCTCTAAATACGTTTCAATATATATATCATAAATAAGGTCTCTAAATATGTTTCAATATATATATATCATAAATAAGGTCTCTAAATATGTTTCAATACATATATCATAAATAAGGTCTCTAATTATGTTTCAATATATATATCATAAATAAGGTCTCTAAATATGTTTCAATACATATATCATAAATAAGGTCTCTAAATATGTTTCAATATATATATCATAAATAAGGTCTCTAAATACGTTTCAATATATATATCATAAATAAGGTCTCTAAATATGTTTCAATACATATATCATAAATAAGGTCTCTAAATACGTTTCAATATATATATCATAAATAAGGTCTCTAAATATGTTTCAACATATATATCATAAATAAGGTCTCTAAATATGTTTCAATACATATATCATAAATAAGGTCTCTAAATATGTTTCAATACATATATCATAAATAAGGTCTCTAAATATGTTTCTATATATATATATCATAAATAAGGTCTCTAAATATGTTTCAATACATATATCATAAATAAGGTCTCTAAATATGTTTCAATACATATATCATAAATAAGGTCTCTAAATATGTTTCAATATATATATCATAAATAAGGTCTCTAAATATGTTTCAATACATATATCATAAATAAGGTCTCTAAATATGTTTCAATACATATATCATAAATAAGGTCTCTAAATATGTTTCAATACATATATCATAAATAAGGTCTCTAAATATGTTTCAATACATATATCATAAATAAGGTCTCTAAATATGTTTCAATACATATATCATAAATAAGTGTCATGAGACTGAATGTTGAATTCACAGCTCCAGGGACACATCAGAGAGTGGATTAGAAGCACCTTCACACGTCGTATTCACAAAGACAAAAGGTAAGTTATTAGAGTATATAACATACAGTGAAGTCTCACTATTCTTTTTGAAAGGAATTTGCTTTTCTTGGTGTTGATGTTGATACAAATTCTTGTCGAGGTTCATTTTCAATACACATGCTACTGTGGTTATGAAATGTCATCTTAAGAAAGGGAAGAGTAACATGTAAACAAAATCAGTTTCCCTTCCATTCAGCTTCACTAAAGTTAAATGTGATGCTATGTGTTACAAAGAGGAAAAGGAAACTGCCTAAACTTGTTCATGTTAATGCAATATGTAGAACTGTTCATTTCAGCCATCCCTACACCAGTTTATTGACCAGTGTGCTAACTGTGCGTAATGTGGATGAGAATCTGAGAAAACTGAGTCTGCAGTATATGTGGTAATATAAATTTACAAAAAATCTAATTCCTTTAAGAAATGAACTACACTAGATCAATGTAACTGTATCTCTGTTACATGTGTCATGCAGTAAATCAGTTTTGACATTATAAATTTGACCTATAAAGGTACTAAACAGACCTCAGTGTGGTAAAATCAGTAGCTTGTAGGAATAGAAGTTATACATGTGCATATCATTTCTACCATTAGGCACTTTGGAAGAATCAAATAAAGTGTTCTGAAATGTCTTTTTGTACTGTTCTTGTTTTCAACCTACTGCTAAGTATTAGTCACAATTAAATCTGAAAACCAACACATAATACTAGTCTTGCCATATTTCCATTCTGACCATATACAATTTGTTTCATTTGTAATTTTGGGGGGTTTAGTAACTTTGCTCAAACATGATATGTTAAATGTCTTTCTGTCTTTTACAGTGCAACAACCCACTACATCGTGTATGTAGCTGTACAAGAGGCATGCCTATTCCTCATCCAGAAATGTCTGGATATGGAGTACCAACATCTGGACAAAGAATGTTCAGAAATGAAATTACATCCGAAGCGTTTGTAACTTGGTCCAGTTTTGACTTGCGTTCATTGCGTTAAAGAATAAAATGATATCAAATGTTCACTCTGTAAGTCTTGTATATCAAACTAATATTGACTACTCTGCACTGATGGTTATCAACCTAAGTCTCGTAATAGTTTTTAGGAAAATATGTGTAATATGACCTCCAGAATTGACATTACATGTTTAAAATCTATAGTTAATGGAATCTTAAGATTTTCTTTCGGCTATGGATATTATGGATATCACATTTCTAGCTAGAGAGCAGAATTTGAATGCTATGGGTCAATATTTCTAGCTTTAAGAGATTTTTGACTATTTTATTACTCATATCCCCTTGACCAGAAGTGGGATAACGCCTTTAAAATCTTAAATTAAGTTAATCTTAAGATTTCTTCTTGGCTGCTGAGAGTAAATAGCATTTCAAACCTGTGAGCAAAGCCTGAACACTATGATACAATATTTCTAATTTTAAGAGATTTTTGACTATATCATTACTCATCTCCCCTCGACCAGAAGTGGGATAACGCTTATAAACACGACAAATAATGGAATCTTAAGATTTCTTCTTGGCTGCTGATAGTAAATAGCATTTCAAACCTGTGAGCAAAGCTTGAACACTATGATACAATATTTCTAATTTTAAGAGATTTTTGACTATATCCTTATTCATCTCCCCTCGACCAGAAGTGGGATAACGCTTTTAAAATCTAAAATTAAGTTAACCTTAAGATTTCTTCTTGGCTGCTGATAGTAAATAGCATTTCAAACCTGTGAGCAAAGCTTGAACACTATGATACAATATTTCTAATTTTAAGAGATTTTTGACTATATCCTTACTCATCTCCCCTCAAGCAGAAGTGGGATAACGCTTTTAAAATCTAAAATTAAGTTAACCTTAAGATTTCTTCTTGGCTGCTGATAGTAAATAGCATTTCAAACCTGTGAGCAAAGCTTGAACACTATGATACAATATTTCTAATTTTAAGAGATTTTTGACTATATCATTACTCATCTCCCCTCGACCAGAAGTGGGATAATGCTTTTAAAATCTAAAATTAAGTTAACCTTAAGATTTCTTCTTGGCTGCTGATAGTAAATAGCATTTCAAAACTGTGAGCAAAGCTTGAACACTATGATACAATATTTCTAATTTTAAGAGATTTTTGACTATATCCTTACTCATCTCCCCTCGACCAGAAGTGGGATAACGCTTTTAAAATCTAAAATTAAGTTAACCTTAAGATTTCTTCTTGGCTGCTGATAGTAAATAGCATTTCAAACCTGTGAGCAAAGCTTGAACACTATGATACAATATTTCTAATTTTAAGAGATTTTTGACTATATCATTACTCATCTCCCCTCGACCAGAAGTGGGATAACGCTTTTAAAATCTAAAATTAAGTTAACCTTAAGATTTCTTCTTGGCTGCTGATAGTAAATAGCATTTCAAACCTGTGAGCAAAGCTTGAACACTATGATACAATATTTCTAATTTTAAGAGATTTTTGACTATATCCTTACTCATCTCCCCTCGACCAGAAGTTGGATAATGCTTTTAAAATCTAAAATTAAGTTAACCTTAAGATTTCTTCTTGGCTGCTGATAGTAAATAGCATTTCAAACCTGTGAGCAAAGTTTGAACACTATGATACAATATTTCTAATTTTAAGAGATTTTTGACTATATCATTACTCATCTCCCCTCGACCAGAAGTGGGATAACGCTTTTAAAATCTAAAATTAAGTTAACCTTAAGATTTCTTCTTGGCTGCTGATAGTAAATAGCATTTCAAACCTGTGAGCAAAGCTTGAAAACTATGATACAATATTTCTAATTTTAAGAGATTTTTGACTATATCCTTACTCATCTCCCCTCGACCAGAAGTGGGATAACGCTTATAAACACGACAAATAATGGAATCTTAAGATTTCTTCTTGGCTGCTGATAGTAAATAGCATTTCAAACCTGTGAGCAAAGCTTGAACACTATGATACAATATTTCTAATTTTAAGAGATTTTTGACTATATCCTTACTCATCTCCCCTCGACCAGAAGTGGGATAACGCTTTTAAAATCTAAAATTAAGTTAACCTTAAGATTTCTTCTTGGCTGCTGATAGTAAATAGCATTTCAAACCTGTGAGCAAAGCTTGAACACTATGATACAATATTTCTAATTTTAAGAGATTTTTGACTATATCATTACTCATCTCCCCTCGACCAGAAGTGGGATAACGCCTATAAACACGACAAATAATGGAATCTTAAGATTTCTTCTTGGCTGCTGATAGTAAATAGCATTTCAAACCTGTGAGCAAAGCCTGAACACTACGATACAATATTTAAAATTTTAAGAGATTTTTGACTATTTTATTACTCATATCCCCTCAACCAGAAGTGGGATAACGCTTATAAACACGACAAATAATGGAATCTTAAGATTTCTTTTTGGCTGCTGATAGTAAAGCACATTTCTAACAGTTATGAAAGCTTCAATGTATATATGTCAATAAGCTACTTAGGAATGGTTCAATGAGTTTCCTGGTTATTTTAATGCTGACCAGGAAGATTTTGTCATTCCGGGTATTACATATGGTATTCTTTCCTTAAAAAAATGAGAAAAAGAGTAGGGTGGTGGGTGAATCAAAGGAACATCAAAGAAATCTTTTTCAACAAGAGAATTCTTTCTACTCTAATATTTCTATATGTAATTAGTTTCTTTTATTTTTTAAGTTAGACTTCTAAGATGAAGCACAAACTCTCTCACAACAAGCATCTGCTATGCCTGGAAGCAGTTACATGCACCTCCAACATTAATTAAAAAATAGTTGCTTTTATCATCATGTACATAATAATCAAATGGAGTGATTTTGAATAATTGTTACCACTAAAATCTAACATGATAGTAATAGTAATATTTATAAAAAATGACTTTGGGACTTGAGAATACAAACAAAAATACACACATCAGTTGCCAGAGGGCTGTGAGGTGATGGGGCTTAGAAATCCCTTGAACAGTACACATGTAATTGTACCCCTTTTAACTCTGACATGTTGAGTATTCATTGTTTGATGTTTAATGACACACTTAGTTATATTCAAAATAATTAATATTATTATATTAATGTACATACCCTCCCACATATATATTGTGCACATCATCGCCTGTTGTACAATGTCATGAGTGTATACTCCTAGGCATTTACCTGCTGTGTTACTGTGTATGAGAAGAAATATGTCCAACTCTTATATAACTCTTGAAAAATAGCATAACACAAACATCCTAGGAACTTGAATTATTACACTTGTATCCCCACCAATGAGTGGCATAACAACTTTAAAAAACATAAAATTAGAGAATAGTTTTATTTTCATTTGGCTTTTGCTCTGTTGTAGGAAAACACTGTGTTCAGAAGTGGCCAAGATAGCTATTTAACAGAAAATTGACTGTTATTAAACATGTCACCACCTCACGAAGGTTATGATATGATAGACAATCAAATAATACATTTGGGAGTTATATCATGGTTAGAAAGTAAACATTGGCAATGGGCAGTAATTACAGATAATAAGCAACATGACTATTTTTATAAAAATGGCAGTTTTCATAAGCGATAAGCATAAAAATAAGAAATTGTAATCCGCTTTAGCTCCGCATTACCACTTTTATACGCTGCCATTTTTAGCTGCAAATGGTGGATATCGAGTCAGTAGCATTGCCATTCACCCTTTGCAGAACGGAGTAAAAATACAAAACACAAGAAGTGCAGATGATTTTGCTCTTATTAAATGTTTGTCAGTTAAACACATAGTTGCATGCCACAGATATATTTCTCTATAGTGTTTATCCCAGTTCTGGTCGCTCCAGGCGTCGACCACAGGCGTCGACCATATCCGCCGCATCATATGCCAGGGGATAACAAAAGGTAGAGATCATGTTGTTTTAGTTTCGCTTCTCTTCACTTGCATCTCCAGTATTTTGATGGCAATTTAGAGTCAAGTTTGAGATATTTCATGAGAAATAAGAATTTCTTTTTCTTTACTCAAAATGGAGAAGGAAATGTATAGTTATAAAATGCTTATCATGGAATCTTTAAACTATGACAAATCCAAAGAAAGTTGAATACTTCACCTGGCAGAAAGGCGGTAGGCAAGTCCTCTTGCATGGCTTCAGATACAGACTCAACAACCAGCGGCTGACTTGTGTACACTGGAAATATGCACAGCGCCAAGGATTAGTCAGCACCGCAGTGTCAACTCAATGCAGTTTATTCTGCAACCATAACATTGACAGAAAAACCCGGAAGGCCCGGTTAAAACAAAAGTTGCAATAAACAAAAGCGAACGCGGATGCGTGTAATGGCACAGGGTGGCTGCCTGGGCAAGTGTACCACAGTGGGTCTTTAAAGATAGGTATTTAAGTGATAATACAGTGAGACATATTTTATATAATATTACACAATATATATCTTCATTTTTAACTTGTAACCATAACTTAATACTAAGAACCATAACAATTTGAAATGTTGTGAACATACAATGATATTTAGAATGTGGTCTCATGTAACAAATGTTATATTTGGGATCACACTTTCTAAGCCTCGGTGGCTGAATGGGTTAGATCGCTGAGTTTGTGAGCTTGCGATTAGGGGCCTCACTCTGGCAGTGCGGGTTTGAATCCTTCATGGGACTCAACCAAAACAAGTACTAGAATCTGTACTTTACTAAGAAAGTGTTATCCCAAAAAACATTTGTTAACTTTGAAATGTTGTTGCAAATATTGCATATTTGTTATTGAATGTCTGAAAGTGTGACAGAAATTTAAAAAAATAATAAAATATGGGCTTAGTACGTTCATTTGTGTCCACAATAACATGGAGGGCTATACCACTTAATGTCAAGGTAGAAGCCAGTAGCTGAGTCAGTCACTGCACTGATGCATAAAGATGTTTCTATAACACTGTAGGCATGAGTAAACTGTAATATTCTCACGCTTTGGGAATGATTTGTAGCACTTGAACTAGCCCTAGGCTGTTGCTGCCTCCGACGAATAAATAATGGAGAACGACATTCTGTGTTCCATCTTGTATTTATTGCCATACATACACGGGTGGTACATCTGGTAAAACAGGGGGTCCCAACGGCTAGGTCGCCAAGGGAGATTACTCTAATATGTTATACACCATCACAGCCGCTAGTGGCATAATGCAGTATGATAACAGTACATCCCTTTTCTTATAAAAAAAAGTTGGACACATTAGCAGTAAGTGAACTACAGAGCACAGAAAACGACTACAAAGAGTAGACACTTGATATTGATTATATTCTATTACTTCAATGATGCTTAACACTTCAAACTTGAATTACAACTAATAAATCAAAGGTTGTCAATTCTTGACTGTAAATTCTAACTAATATTGTGAAGTGGCCTACATAGCCTATCAGAATGACACTGATACAAACTTACTGTGGTTGACTGTTGTATAGTCTTACAATCATCTTGAGCTAAAACTGGTAAAAACTACACTGAGGCAATAACCTTGGGTTTGACAACCCGACCCGAACGAGTGATATATTGATTATTGGCATTGTCAATAACTTTCTGGGGACTGTGTGTTCGTGATGGGATCGGTGATGTTACAGGGTCATCAGAGGGTTTGACCTCAGCTGTATCACGAGTACAGGTATCGGCTCTGTCAGTCTGTGGAACATGTGGTAACTCACTACTTGTGACATCAATGTTCATTTCAGGTATGTCATGCTTTTCACGTGTCCTTAGTAGGTGACGTCGGTTGCGACGATATTCCGCTCCATCGCCAGTGCGAACAGTGTAAGACCTGGAATTGTGCTGCTTTGTGACTACTGCAGGTGTCCACAAGTTATTGTGTTGTCGTACACGAATTGCTTCTCCTGTTTTAAGGGGCAACAGGGGCTTGGCAGCAGTATCGTAGTAGTGCTTTTGTTTCCTCCGACTTGCTTGTAGTACTTTCTGGTACTGAGAATGATCAACAGATCCAGGCAAAAGTTGATGTTGGGTACAAGGTAATGTGGATCGTAATCGTCGACCCATGAGTAGCTGAGAGGGTGATAGATTTGCCTCCATTGGGGTAGTACGGTACTCTAGAATACCAATGTGTGGATCTCTGCCATCTGTCTTCGCCTTGGAAAAAATGCGCTTGATTGTTTGGACAGTTTTCTCGGCAAGACCATTTGACTGTGCGTAACGAGGGCTTGATGTCTCATGCACAAAGTCCCATTTTTCTGCAAACTGAGCAAAGTCTTGTGAGGAGTACTGGGGGCCATTGTCAGATATCACCTTATCCGGTATCCCATGTCTCGCAAATACATCTTTGAGAGCATTGATAACAGTGGTGCTTTTGGTGCTGGGTAATTTGCAAACTTCAAAGTACCTGCTATAATAGTCAACAACGACCACAAAATCATGGGTGTCCCATAAGAAGAGATCTGTGGCCACGGTCTGCCAAGGACGACTGGGAATGTCATGTGATATGAGGGGTTCCTTGGGGTTAGAGTTTCTTCTCTCTAGGCACACAGAACAGTTGAGTACAAGACTTGTGATATCATTCGACATTTTGGGCCAAAACAAAATGTCACGAGCACGCCGGAGACACTTTTCAACTCCCATGTGTCCAGTGTGAATTTTGTCAAGCATACTTGTCCTCAGGGACTTGGGTATGACAATTTTCTGGCCCTTGAATATGATGCCATCCATGAAGGCAAGTTGGTCCCTGAAGTTCCAGAATTCAAGTATTGTCCCTGGGCATAGCTTCCTATGTTCAGGCCAACCATCTATGATAGTTTGTTGGAGCAAGGAGAACTGAGGGTCAGCTTCTGTGGCTCGTCTAATATCCTCCATCCTCTTCTCACTGACAGGAACATTTGATACTATCATATGGACATGCGCGTCCATACCTTCTGAAAGGTGCGGGTAGGTATCAGGCACTGACTTGCGTGAAAGTGTATCAGCTACTACTATTTCCTTCCCAGGTCTGTGTTCAACTGTGAGGTCATACTTTTGTAGCTGCAACATCATACGCTGTAACCGAGCAGGGGCGACAGCAAGAGGCTTCTTCATGATAGAGATGAGAGGTTTATGATCGGACTCGACTTTCACATGCCGACCATAAACATACTGGTGGAAACGCTTACAGCCGAACAGGATAGCAAACATTTCCTTTTCGATCTGTGCATAATTGACCTCCGTGGTGGTCAAAGACTTAGATGCATAAGTGACAGGCTTCCCATCCTGTAAGAGAGCGGCACCAAGACCATACTTGGATGCATCAACTTGGAGTGTTAGATCCTTGTCTGGGTCGTAGTAGGCAAGAACTTGCCCAGGTGTCTGTGTGATGATATCCTTAATTCTCTGAAACGCTGTGGACTGAGGATGATCCCACACAAACTCAACGTCTTTGGGAAGGAGCTGTCGCAGAGGGCTGGTGATCTCGGACAGATTAGGAGCAAACTTGGCTAAATAATTAACCATTCCAAGAATTGTTTCCAATTCAGAGCGGTCACGTGGTGGATTCATTGAGCATATAGCAGAGACCTTAGCTGGGTCCGGTCTGAGGCCTTCAGCACTCAAGATGTGTCCAAAGTATTGGATCTCTGTGACACCAACTTCAAGCTTCTCTTCGTTAAGCTTAATACCTTTGTCACGGGAGCGGGAAAGCATGTTCCGCAGGTTGTGATCATGCTCCTCGGGAGTACTTCCATACACCAGAACGTCATCAACTATGGCTGCAACGCCATCTAGTCCCTCATAGCACTCGTCAATCCTTCGCTGAAATTCATCTTGTGCTGAACGTATCCCAAAGGGTAGTCTAAGAAATCTGTAACGTCCATACGGGGTGTTGAACGTTGTAAGAAATGAAGATTCCTCAGCCAGTCTGATGGCCCAATATCCAGATCGAGCATCGAGTTTAGTGAAATAACGAGCCTTAGAGAGGCTTGGAAGGATGTCTTCAAGTGTTTTCATTGGGTAGTGTGGACGCTGTATAGCACGATTCAGGTCCAATGGATCCAAGCATATGCGCAGTTTCTTTGAGTGTGGCTTTTCAACGATTACTAAAGAGTTGACCCATTCAGTTGGTTCATCAACCTTTGTGATAATGTTTGACTTTTCCATCCGATCAAGTTCGTCTTTGAGTCTTTCACGAAGTGCGACTGGAACTTTTCATGGTGGGTGAACTACAGGGATAGCACTCGGATCGATGTGTATCGTACATTCACCTGGAAAGAGCCCAATGCCCTCAAACACATCGGCATATTCTGCAATAATGGTGCTCTTCTCAAGAGGTTTTCCAGATTTCTCACTCGATCCACAAGTATCAACCGCACAGGTAAGTTGGATAAGCTCCAACTCAAGGCATGTTTTGAGACTGAGTACAGGGTTTGATTCTGTCTCTACAACGTAATACTCAGCTGTGAATTCACGATCATCAATCTGACAAGATAAGCTACATGTACCGTGAGTCTGAAGATGTGTACCGCCATACGCCATCAACTGTTTGGGCGGTTTACTGAGTACAGTTGTAGTGCCAATTTTGGGGAATAATCCAGCTGGTATGATATTTACCTGAGACCCTGTATCTAATTTGAATTCCACTGGTATGCCCTTAATTCCTACCTTCACAGTAACAAAAGCCTGGTTAGTATCCTCAGTTTTGGAGTGGACACTGTCAACATCACTAGATGTATCCACGCTATCAATTAAGTCTATGAGAAAGTCTGAGTCCCCTGAATCAAAGCGTTCATCTGTCACAACCTCATTGACTTTCACTGAGCGACACACAATCTTGAAATGATTCCACTTTCCACAATTGTCACATTTTCTACCTTTGGCAGGACCAGTTCACGCTTAGAATGTGATCTACCACAGTTTCTACACTGACTATGTGTTTTGTCATCACTGTTTTGATGATCTTCTATTTGGTGTGTTGTGGGGTTTTACAGGTTGTGATTTCTGTCGGGAGTAATGATACTTTTTGTGTCGATGGGAATTATCACTGGCTGAAACTGTATGTACTTCAGGGTTGGCCATTGTTTTTAACTGTTCCTGAGAGTATTCCAAACTTTGTCCCATTTGAATTGCTTTCTCGAGTGTCAATTTCTCCCCTTCATTTATCAATTTTGCACGAAGTTTAGTAGATGATGTGCCGAACACTATGCGGTCCCTCACCATTTCATCAGATGTATTAAATGCACAATCTGTAGCTAGCAGCTTTAATCTAGTCACAAACTGATCAAAGTGAGATGACCCCTGAACTTCGTTATTGAATTTGTACCTTGCGAAAACAGGATTCAACTTTGGCTGGACGTATGCTGCGTAGCGAGTGTAGTAAGTTTGAAGTAACTTTTTGTCATCATCAGAAATGCCTGTCCATGTATTGTAAACATCTCTACCTTTTTCTCCCACCCAAAGTAGGAGGTATGAGCACTTCGATTCTTCCGACTTTTCCACCAACGGTCCGTCGAATATCAGTTGCACGTGCTGTTTAAAACGCCGCCACGCATCAGGCAGGTTTGATGCTTCCCAGTCCATAGATGGGGTGGGGATTCCGGAAAGATCCATGACTCTGACACCATGTAATATTCTCACGCTTTGGGAATGATTTGTAGCACTTGAACTAGCCCTAGGCTGTTGCTGCCTCCGACGAATAAATAATGGAGAACGACATTCTGTGTTCCATCTTGTATTTATTGCCATACATACACGGGTGGTACATCTGGTAAAACAGGGGGTCCCGACGGCTAGGTCGCCAAGGGAGATTACTCTAATATGTTATACACCATCACAGCCGCTAGTGGCATAATGCAGTATGATAACAGTACATAAACCATGTGTCCTGTCTGCTGGTGGATGGGAACAGACATTTAACCTGAACAAAAATACATGGAAATATGATTGAATGAAGTTCATGCATATGATTAGGAAGTATGAAACATCTCATTGTTCACACAAATGTAAAATCTAACAAATAATGGTGTGAATAAATCTACTATCACTATCACCCATGTTTTGTTCTACTATTGGGCCCCCATGTAACCCCTTAAGAATTCAGGAGGGGGCTCTTCCATACCCACATCACCTGATTGATGAACCCAGTCTAGCATAGAGCACCTAATTACTTGGTAAATTATGTGAAGTGGGCGAATAACGATGAGTAGAGGGGTTCGTCATGCACAATGGTTCAGCAGAGTAACTCTCAGCAATTGTTAAAACAAGTTTAAACTTAAGTAATTAATCTGTGTTTAGTGGGGCCAATATAAGACATTTGAATCTGTAAATTATCCCTGTCTCCCATAGATATTCATGGGAATGAAACAGCAGACAGACTGGTAAAGCTAGTTCCAGACAAAGCGGAGATACACCCTATTCCCTTCAGAAAACTGGAGAAAATGCAAAATCAAAGCACAAATGGCCTGGCAAGCCCAATGGACGCAAGTGAAGGTTGCAGATGGCTTTACAAAATACAAAATTCCAACCCAAATAGGACAAAAAGCCATACTCCTACGGATCTGTAAAGATGGTCAGCTCCTCCAATGTATCTTTACAGAGCAGCCAAAGTAATTACATCCATTTCTGAACAAACAAATTTGTAATAGTTAAAAAATAAAAACCATATCAAAATAAAAACAGAAAGATGGTCCAGAGTAACAAACTGTTCAACAGTTCAACCACATGAAACAGACATGTTCTGTACAAACAATTATATTATTTTTTGTCAACATAATTATGATCTCTAGAAGGGAATTACTGCCATTAATCATCTAATCTGTGACTTGACTTTCAGTGCATATCTTTATTTATTATGATTATTTATTCTGAACTTTATTTTGTCATGGTCACTGGACAAATGCCTTGTGGGTGACCTCTATTGTGCTGACCTGTCTTGTGTGAGAGGTTAACATGCAGATTAAATACAGATGATGTGAAAACCTTTGATTTTACTATATTTATTATGCCTGTTTGGCATTATTTTTTTTAACATTTGAAAATCTATACTGCATCCACATTTCATACAACACAAGTGCATTTGTTAGGCGCTGTTTTCCATCCACTATAAGGTTGCTCAAAGCATACTTATTACCCCGTTCAATGGATCAGTGTGCACTTAACAATCATTCTCAGCTCCCTAGGGAGTATACTACCCACACTGCTCTGAGGCACTAGCAGGTTAACAGTCACATTGACATCTCATCCTACCGGGTACCCATTCACTGCTGGGTGAACAAAGGCACATTTCAAACAGTCAATTGCCCAGGGGGACACCACATTTGTTAAATGTGCTTCAGTGTGGGGCAAAGCACACAGTCCCACACTCCCCACAACCAGTGTAGCTCAACTTGACAGATATGTGACTTGTGCGCTGTGCGCTGTGCACAGGACCACATGCCACCAGCTCATGCATTCTGATACAGATATGATAAATGATCAATAATTCTTATATTACAACAACTATCTTGACACCTTACTTTGCAGACTCTGAGTTTCTATCCAAATTGATCCTATGAAAGTTTTTGATGGGACTAAGTATTGTACAGTATCAACAGAGAATCAGGGCATTTGATTGTAGGTTCTTTGTACAAAGAGCAGAAATTATTTAAACACAGACTACATCTATATTATGTTATCTAGTTCATCTGTACTTCCAGCACGAGGGGGATACAGCCGCCTAGTATAGGAAGTCCCAATTACAAGATTCATATCATTAACATCAAATTTAAGGATATAATGTATTATATATTACAAAAACATGGTTACACTCTCATATTTTAAATGAAGAAATTACTACCAGGTTTCCGCAGTGCATTTACTCAAGATAGATCTACAAGGGTCGCGGGGTTGCCATCTATATTAATGACAACTTATTTACTAAATGCATGGATAACTTATTAATAGGACTCAAGACATTTTGGATGAAAATCACTTGTAAGAAGGAACACCTGTTGATCTGTGATAGGGATGTTGTAACATACTTAAAGTAGTCAATGCTGGGGCTTGATTGATATGTTAATAGGTATTGATTCAATAGTAGCAGGTCATATTAATATAGATTGATTACCTTAGTATCTTTAAACCACTAGAATATTTGCAGGCAACTTTTGGTCTTCATCAAATTATTATTGAAACCACAAGGATTACGCAGCACCCCTAAACATTTAACTAGTATTATACTCTTCAGGTGTTCTTGACCCTGTGAGTGGCGACCATTGTCTCGTACATGTTAATCTGAGTAACTCTAAACCCCTTGACATAAGTTTTACAAGAAAGATGTATTATTAGTTTGCTTGACAAGGTGAAATTAATGTGGTATTTGTTTAAGTATAACTGTATTCTCACCCTACTGAAAGTGCGTCAGTAAGTCAGTCAGTCAGTCAGTCAGTCAGCCAGCCAGCCAGCCAGCTAGCCAGCCAGCCAGCAAGCACATGGTTTAATATCATGGTGGAAGAAACCAGAAATGGGCTTCACACATTATACTCAATTGAACCCGTACCTGGCATGACAAGTGAACACTTTAACCCTGAGGCTACCAGGAGACACTGAGGCTGACTACTACTATTTTCATGAGGAAGACAACCACATCAGATTCAAGTTCAACTCAATACCTTTTCAGTGACATAAACTGTTGGACAAAACAAAGAGTGCGCATGAAATCATATACCAAATGCAGCACCAGTTTATTGTAGTCCTCCACAGCTGCAGGGTTTTAATAAAAACCAAATAAAAGGGAACCCAGAAAGGCTTGCCTCATTCTCTGTGACTATCAAATCATCTTAGGGTGACTGCTGTATGTCAGGTCCATAGAACCCATGTAGTCAGTCAACTGTAGCCAGGTGGTCGGGATGTGTGAGCTGGCTCACTGTGTGTCACTTTACCCAGTACACAGTGCTGACCTATACTGCTGGATATATCTATTGGTCATTGCTCTATACTGCAAACCCCCTAGTTTATCCTTAGGTTATCCAACATGC